AAAAAATGAAAATAGACAATCTGATTTGACTCAGCAGAAGACACCGCTTGCTTGAATCTTTACACGTACTCATTAATATTTCTCTTCTTTCGGTAGCTTTGGTTCAATTCATTAATTGACCACTAGCTCAGAATTCAAAACGGATCATTAAGTTGTAATTTAGTAGTTGATCAAACTTAAGAGACCTTTCGTATTAGAATGTGAGTTTTAGACTGCCAATGAACAGTAACTCAACTGTTAAGTACACGCTGCATCGTGGTGATTGAGCCGAATTATTTGTATCAATAATTTCTAAGTTCTAGTCAGCTTTATGCGAGTTAAAAGAATTTTCCAAAAGAACACTTCAAAATTTGCACTTTTCTCACAACGAGTGATTCAAGAAAGAATCGAAACGTATTATTTCGGCGCAATTATACTGCTCTTTCAGCAATTTATTTAGACTCCTTTTTTTCACGCTGCTGATGTTATGACAACGTTTTAATATCCGCGTGTGGGTGTGATGGAATTTGAGGACCATTTACATCAAAATAACACCTCCAGTAAACAGATACCATACAAAGACGCACACCCTGCCACCCACACCCGCTATTGTCATCATTGTATCTCTAATAATGAGCACGAATATCGTGCCGTTGAGTGTTATACCGTTCATATATCAGTACTGATACGCACATTAACCCTCTTGGTAGTTCAAAATGAATTTCCAGTGCAAATGACTCACAATTTTACCGATAACAGAATCGAATAATCCTTACAAACAGTAGCGATCACTGAATTCTATTCCATCTTTTACGTGAAACCTCAATCTACCTAATATGTTTATATTAATATTCGATAATATTAAATAACAACAGTAACGATAGGTACATCTACACCAACGCGAACAGATCCAACCACAACTGTAACGAAAGCTCACACCAGCACTACAGTGACGCAGACAAGCACGCCTACAACAGCAACGAGTGGAAACACAAGTAAAAAATTGTCAACTATTCAAACCCTAACTGAGACTAAGTTTCTAATCACAACCGTGATAACGGATCCAACTCCAACTGCAGTGACTGATGGAAGCATAAGCATTACTCCAACGACTGGTGCAGGGTGTGGGTCCTATCAGATCACTTATACATTCAAACCCATATCCATACCGACACCCACACCCACACCCTCAAGATTTGTAGACATCAAAAGCTGTCAGGTAAATATTCATTTAAATATGGTCCTATGTGAAGATGGTGTCTTTGCCAGGACGTCCTGAGCACGCGCTCGCTGCGGGCTCACGGATTGTTCCTGGTCGCACGCGCATATGTATAGGAAGAATAAAACACTTTTTTTCATTCATTCTAGTTCAACACAACATTTCGTCGCAACGCACAACAACTGTGTTTCACGTGGTTCAATGGCCAGCAAACTTCAATACGAAGTATTTTCTCTTTTTTTCTTATGTTGTTTTTTGTTTTTTGAATTTTAATAATAAATATGTATATCGAAGGAAAAAATTATTATTTTTTAATTTCATTGCGAATCGATAGGAGAAAATATCAAAGAATATTGTTTGAGTTTTCTTTCAATAGGGAGAATGTGAATGTCTCGTGTTGAGACAATTCATAGATAGAGAAAGCAAAAAAATCACAATACACGCGAGAGTCTATTCGAGAGAAAATCGTTGCACCCGATTATTATACTTATCGGCGACATAGAGATTACCATGTCGATCGAAAGACAAACCAACAGGGTTGTAGAGTTGATTTGCTCCTGCTCCTTGACCGTTTCCACCGACAATTACAGTGTCTTGTTTCGCTCGTTTAGGCCAACACATTACACGATGATTAAGCGTGTCTGCCACATAGAGTGTACCAAACGTATCAACAAAGAGCCCTCCAGGATACTCAAATTGTGTCGGAGCATTCCCACTACCTTGACCTCCAGCAACGATGATGCCTTCGTTTGTACCTTTATTCCATTTCATCACACGATGATTGTTGAAGTCTGACGCATAGACATTCTGTTGTAGATCGACAAAGAGATATCTCGGCGAGTTGAGTTGATTGAGACCATCACCTTTACCATTTCCACCAGCCACGAGGGTGCCATTCTTCTCTCCCAATTGATAGCGTCTTACTTCATGTTTTTTGTAGTCAGAGACGTAGAGATATCTCTGATCATCCATAGCCAATCCCCAGCAATCGATTTTGTTGATGAGGATTTCTCCTTGTGTTGTGCCACTACGACGAGACCATCGTACAACTCGTCTCCCCGCAGCAATTATGAGGCTATCCGTCTCTTTGTCGATCAATACATCACTGGGATCATACAATTGATCCGGTCGATTTCCTGAACCATTACCACCAGCAACGACTTGTCCACTCGTATCACCTTTCTCCCATTGCATGATACGATTATTCCCTTCGTCAACAATGACCACTGTTTGATCATCATCAACAAAGAGACCCATAGGTTGGTTGAGTTGACTGGTGGCATCCCATATCCCGTTGCTTCGAGCAATAGTCACTCCATTCTGTGCCCATTTGGCATTTGCAGGAATAGTGGGTATAACTATAAGAAATGAAACGAATCTTCGTCATCACTCTCGTTCACATGGTAGTCTTAGTAATGCCAACATGTCAAATGTGAAAAGAATTCTCAAGCAATCTTTTCTAAATCTGATGTAGAGTAGGGTATTCAATGTTAGAATGATCTCATCGGGAACTTCCGAATGGGAAGTAGGAGAATATTGAGAATGTCCTTATCTATCGAGGTGCCTATTTTTCTTGGATGAATTGAATAAAATGCTTAAGAAACTTTTTTTTTGTTTGACAGCAAACATGAGAACATTGGAGAACTTTTCGCATACAAAATTCAAATAAGAATGGTTTCTCAAAAATTCTAAGAATGATACAAGAGAAAGATTTGAAAGGAGACCAGGGAATTCTTGGATCAAAATTGGAATTAATTAAATTTGTCTAGAAGTGCGACTTGTGATGAAGTAACGAATAGTGATGGTACGAAACATACTCGACTACTGTGCACGAGTATATGCTATCATTACGTACGAAGAAGACAGGAAAGAAAAAAAGAGTATCGTGATGACGCTAAGTTTTTCTTTCTATTCGACTATGACGTCAACTAAACGGCATAAACAAAGCATGTGATTTTTTCAAGGGGGAACAAGCGAACGTCTCGTACTTCTTGGAACTTCTTCGTACTTTTTGGTACTTGGTACCTCGACAATGTATTACATTTTTTTCTCACGTTTTTTAAAATATAAACGCTAGTACTGTGATATCTATTTTCAACAGTTCTCTTAAATAATGCGTGAGCCAAGAGAGAAAAAGCAGATTTTTTGATTTTTCTGATTTTCCTTATTTAAAATCAATTGGTTTTAAATTAGAAAAATCAAGAGGAAAATCAAAAAAGAATCTAATTTCAGCTGTTCCCCTCTTGACTTGAGTCATAGATGTCCATGGCGGCGTGGTAGCGGCAGATTTTCAGCCGCGATTGACATCTTTCGCTTAAGCACATGGATAATGCAAATTCTTACTGAACAAAGAAATAAAAACAAAGCGAATACAGCAAATGATAAACTACAAGGAATAGAAATGTATTTCACTTCTTTAAAAAATAATTTGAATCTTCTTTTATGAATCATCCGAGTATTTTTAATTTCTATAGGGTGCCCCAAAAGTAGAGTCCTGCGGGAGCGAATTTTATTGTTCCCATTCCCGTAGTACTTTGATACTTTCTACTACCAATTCAAGTTGTGAGACTAAAATGAACAAATTTTATGTCGCACACAAGTTTATCGTGTCATCACAGGTTTCACAATGTGTTCTTCGTTAAATTTAGAAGAAATTTTGGGTTGGAGGCTCCTTGAATTAATTATAAAACTGAGGCTTCTCATTTTCAATATACATGTTTTTTTCGATGAATCTAGTCCATATAACATTACGGGAATACCAATTTTTAAAGTTGTTCCCGTTTCCCGCAGGAAACGGGACGGGGATTTCGGGAAAGAATCATTCCCGCAGGACTCTACCCAAAAGTGCCCACAGAAAGTTTTCGCGAATGAGGCGTACAGAATTCAGTCGATTTAGTTATTTATTTTGTATTAGTATAGAACACTCTTTAAAAACATTTTCTGTGTATTTTCGGATAAATGCTTCTTCCTACAAGCGAGCGTTACAATACAAATAGTTTTGTTAATGTTCAAGTTTGAGACACCTGTAGTTCGGGGCGAGCGCTGAAAATCAAGTTTGGAACAAATGAAACAAGTTAAGATTGCATTAAAGCTTCATGTCAACGATTTTGTGAAACCGATAAAGTAAGCAATCCAAAAGATTTTAGAACTTCATCAAAAATTACAAAAGCAACAGTTGATGAGCTGGATGAAGTTTATGAATATTATCCACAATCAGATCTTCGAGCTATCTCAATAGCCTGTCCCATTCTATTAATAGCAGATCGTTGAATTACGACAGAATACTTTTTACAGAACTTGTGCAGAATGAATTTTGTCCATGGATTGGGGCATGCCATTGTGATGGCTCGAAGACCTGACTGTGGATGATGTTCACAAACTTCGTCCAGTTCATCGAGTGTTTCTTTTGTAATTTTTGACGAAGTTCTAAAATCTTTTGTATCACTCACTGTACCGGTTTCACAAAAGCGTTGAAATTGAAATCAAGCTTTAATGCAACCTTCACTCGTTGTATTTGTTCCAAACTTGATTTTCAGCTCTCGTCCCCGAACTACAGGTGTCTCAAACTTGAACATTAACAAAACTATTTGTATTGTAACGCTTGTAGGAAGAAGCATTTATCCAAAAATTTACAGAACAAAACTTTCATTAGTGTATTATAATACTACAAAATAAATATCTAAATTGCCTGAATTCTGTACGAGTTATTCGCGAAAACTTTCCACGCGAACTTTTCGGACACCCTCTGGATAACGAAATAATCAATAATAAGAAAGAAGAAAACATACGTGAGAAACTTTTAAAAAAAGTATACAAGTATATTCATAGGCAAACGGCTTATTAGTTATTAACTGATAAAAACATTGTCAAATGATCGACTTTCTCGAGTCATTCAATCAAGTTGCAAAGATAATAACAATCTTTCTTAATTTATTGTACTAATTAGATTTTTACAAATAAAGAAAATCCTAAGGACATTCACATACTTGTATATAACTCAACGTACTTCTTCGCACTTCTCGATAAAGGATAGGTCAACTCTTAGGTGAGTTCCAACGCTCAATTTCATGGATTTTTCGAGGTTCTCTCTGTTTTTCTGGTCGTCCAATGACTCTCGAAATATCGAAAGAGCTATATGTGGTATAAAACACTGTATTCTATGGATTGGTGAGTGTGTTGTTACTCTCGGAATGTTTAAGCGACACAGTAATGTTGTGCCGGTATGATTTTTAGTGATGGATCACCTGTAGTAAAATGTGGATGGGCTACGGTAAATTAAGGAGTGGTTTCGATCGATTCGAATATGCTCTCTCTGATTGGTCGTCGTGGTAGCTTCACATCGATAAAATTCGTCATGTTTTCTACTTAGAAGATAATATAGATGAGCAAAAGAAAACGAAAACGCACTTGTTTTACGTTAATTTTTTAAGTCTCAGTCTTCATTAAGATTTAGTTTTCAATGAAAAGGGTTTCTATCATTGAGGATGATCAGAACCGAAAAGGAAAGGATCATTTTTATATCGCCGAGTTTCACATATAAGTTATACTGTCATAAAACGTTGTTCAATGAGCGACGAGTGAAAATAACGTACATCTGTATATTTCATACGATTAGTATAGGTGCATGAAATGCCTAGATAGATAAATATGAATAAGAACGTTCTTTTCAACGCCACGTAAATGACCAATGAAATCGGTAGACTGATGACGAGCTTTGTCTTTTCACAGTGTGGAAAAAAACACAAGTATATAACATAGATCATACAGACATATGTTTGCTGTTGTTTTAGTCACTTTTAAAAAATAAATAAAGAAAAATTCCACTGAAAATGTATTATCATGGGCATATTTAGCTTTAATCAGTAGATCGTAATAACCACGTGATACGAATTTCATTAATTAACATGTTCTCACTATCAAAATAATTATCATGAAATCATGTTACCTTTTGTACCACCCGCATTAACGTTATTACTCGCCAAGGTTGTCGTATTGGCAGAACCTATTTTCGAAAATAGAAGTTTATTTCATATGTGATTCGCTGTTCTTGTGGCATCCTACTAGAAAACCAATTCATGTACTTTCGAGAAACAAAATATGAATCTAGCCTCAATTTGACGAATTGCAACGAGGTCTTACTGAGTAGTTACAACAGATTCTTTACCGATGCTGTTTCTATTTTTTGTTGCGTGACTTTTAAACTCGTTAATCATGCTCGTTCAAAGATGATCAAAAAATTTCGTCTACGTTTTTTTGTTTTGATGAATCTTTCATATCTCTAATTCTGCTTTTATGCTTAAACAGTGTGTGACAAATAGTATCTACTGTTTTCTTTTTACCTCGGTATATTATGACTAAACGTAGATACACAGACTAACGTGGAGATATTAATATGTAAAATACCGTTTTTTTTTCTTGAGTATTTTCTCAACGTATGTAAAATGATAATAAATCCTTACTGATTCTTTCCTGCAATAGAATGTGTTTGTAGGAATATTTCACTGCGGCATTTCTTCCAAGAGAACTCTTAGCTTAGTCTCGTCGTTTCGGTTCATGTGAACATGTCTCATACGAAACACTTTTACTTTTACGATTGTTTTTTCTATGAATTTATGATAAGCTTATGGGAATTCAAAAGGACTCTCTGATGACCCTTTTCATCGGGCGTATGTTTCCAGCGTATCCTGAAGGGTTTTATCAATCTCTGTCTGCTTCAAACAGTGCAGAGAACTGAATACTTGAGTTTTTCATTATAATTACCATAGTTTCAACTTCCAGCAATACACCACCTATATCTAATTACCAACCAAATCTCACTCAAACCTCACAAGCGTACAGGTGATACACTCAAACCTTGGATGTTCGTATGTATGAGCTAACTAAAATGCACGATGGCTTAGATTAGCGTTTTGTATTGTTAAATGTATTTGGGCATTCTCATTTTACGTTGTGATTATGACACTATGACGACTTTAGAAGGCTACAGGTGCACTTATTTGCTATTTCTGGCAGAATGAAGGTGTATGATAAATAGACAGGAACTAATCGTGTCTATTTGATTGAGCTTTTAAAACTCTATCATGTTCTTGTGATACTATGTAGCATCGCATTCATTCATTTAAGCTAGGACTCTAAGAATATGTGTACCCAAACATTCTTTACTAATATGCACGCCCACAAATGTGTTTAAGCTCTACTTGAACTGCTACCATAAATATGCATTTGGATGCAGCTAAAGTGAAGCATCTGCCACGTTTGAACAAGATTTTGGAGTGCATCACAAGACGCTTCTGAGATGCGTCTGGATGTGTCTGGTATTTTGTCACATATTTAGATGAATTTCGATGCTCCTCAACACTGAATGTGTTTCAATGCACCCATAAGTATGCTGAAAAACCCGATACGCTCGAGCAAATTCTAAAACTAAACATGTTTAAACACGTTTGGAACTGATTTTGCGAAAAATTTCCCTGTTTCTGTAGATTTGAACTACGTTAATATCAAGCTCGCGTGACGATTATCTTCTTTCCATGGCACATTATTATAACAATGTTTCTTTATTGTCACTTTACATTGGGTGTGGGTGTGAGTGTATAGAAGAAGAATAATACCACACCCACACCCACGATTACCTCTCCTAATATAGCTATACTATTTACGAGAGAGATGTCCATATGGACTAACATATTTATACTTCAGCTTTCAGTCTTAGTAAGTGAACATGTATAATAGAAAAGTAAAAGAGGATAACACGATTTTTCTCGTGGACCTATGTCATAATCAGAAGAATCAAGGCATCCTTCTCTCGAGAGACAAAATTTGTTGATCTATATACAGTTTTTTTGATGTTTGAAGTCATTGTGCCATAATTCTCTTTGAATAGTACTCTGATCGAAAAATGACATTACTAAATAAGATAATGCATCTCAGCATAGAGATGTATCACTTTGAATCATTTTTCTTCATCTAAAACGGAGGGCTCATCAAAATACACAAAATCATAATCTTTCATATTATACGGATAGCAATATAATGTATTCCATTTACAGTTAGTTAATAGAGGGCAAAAACGAATTCAACCCAAATTGGTTTTTAAAAAGCAAAGACAAACTGAATTGGTCTCAAATCCATAATAGTTTGTTCCGCTTAGTCTCTAACTTATCAGAATGACCAAGAATTTGAGGAGTATTACGCCCTTTTGTTAAAGACACTTACCAAATTAAATTTTATCGAGACCGTAGTCGATAAAGACCGAAATTATACAACTAAGGATGTAAGCTAGAATTATTATCAGAAGTTTAATATTCTGATTCTTGAATGATCTTACATTCTCATATATAGAAAGGAAATTTCTTTTGTAACTCCAGAAAACAAATAGAATGACGCAATAATCAAATATTGTTTAAAAGCATGAATCAATTCGTATCGAGAAAAAATGCCAACATATACCATATTACTAATTTTAAAAAACAGTCAATATGTAAGTTCTTACGTCACAAAACACAGTGCAGAATTTCTATTTTTAAATTTTCGTACTAACAAAAGAATGGACAATGAAAAACAGATTTGGGCGAAAATCAAAGCATTCAGTTTCGTCATGTACACTAAGTTAAAATGTGTCGGATGTGTCGTAACTAGTGACGCATATTACGACACATTCGGGCACGATGCGAGGCGCTCGTTGCAACACATTCTCTCCAGCAAGAGAACGAAACATTTTTTGATGACACATTCTGAAAGCTTGGTTCAAGTCTAGGCGGCAGCATTTTCATAATTTTTTTTCATTCATTATGCCAAATAATATTTATTTTTATGAGTGCTTTACGGAACGCGAAAAAACAGCAGATCCTTAGATACAACCACTGATGGCTAGTTCCATCTAGATCGGATTACTCCCAGGTAGACCTTTCCTTGTGATGAAATTTTTCTCGAAACGTTTACAAGAAATAGAAAGGCACACGGTCGATTATGATTTTTATGTGCTAGATCAGATCGTTTATAAATAAATATATATGCGGAACAGAATGGTGAATGAACAGTCGTCGTATATATCGCATATATATATGGATGAATTGCAAATTTATTGTACCGCCCGTAGTTCCATTAGTAAAACATGAATAATTCCAGTTCCTCTTGACCAATCTTAATGAAAATTTCTGAGTGTGCTTCTCTAGTTGATGCTCACTATCACACAAAAAAATCACGAATTTATCATTAGCCCATTCTGAGATATTGCATACACAAGTGTGAAATGATTGGTTTCTGCTGCCACCTATGGGCAGAAAATGGCCCATCATTGATTGGTTTCCTGTCATTTGAATTTTGACAATTGTTGGCGTTTATAGTGGACAGTGTATAGGTTACTAATATAAAACTTGTTAGTTCTTTCATCAAAGTTTACATCATATTTTTTCCGAATATCATATGTACTGTCAATAGTCAATATGGTGTCACAAGAGATTTTAAAACGCGTTTATTATATAACAAAGCATTCAAAACTAG